CAATCACTATAATGCTCGACACCATGTAGGCACTATCAGAGATAGGTCATTTGTCATTATTTATGACCTCTGGGTCACCAGTTAAGGAAGTCAGCATAAGGAAAGGATATCGTTCCGATGAGGGGATTTCAATTAGTAGAACCCAGAAGAGCTTAACAAGAAACACCCTTGAACTCAAGAAATCCTTCTAGCAATCAAGAGTTCTTAATCTGGGGGTCTGGAAACTTTTGTTTTAATATTTAGGCAACTGTTTTCCCAGTATAATTGGTTTCCTTTATAATCCTATGTATTTTATTTTGCATATTTAAAAACATTCTGAGATGGGGTCCACAGGTTTCGCCAGACTGCCAAAGGGTCCTCGAAACAAGCAAACATTCAAAAACGTTTAGAATCTCTACCCTAACTCTTTGACATATGCTGTCTTGATAATAGATAAATGAATATATCAATAGATAAACAAATGAATAAATAAATAAGTGAATAGACAGGGACAGGCAGATAGATTAGATAGATAGAGGGATAGATAGATAGATAGATAGATAGATAGATAGATAGATAGATAGATAGATGGATGGATAGATAGTAGATAGCTAGACAGCGACACATTTTTACCAAGATGATTAAGGCTGGCTGCCATTACTTTGGGCATTTGAAGGGATCAGACCACACGTCCCCAGGAAAAGTTTGGCATTATTTGTGAAGAGCAGCCAAAGCTACAAGTTAAAATTACATGTGGGTGAGCTTATTGCCTATTAGTTTTCGTCTGCCTCTTGTGAGACTTTACTGGAATTACCAGGAAGCTCCAAGATTCCAATAACCTCTCTCTACCTACCCCCACATGCCCACACCCCCAAAATGACCCGTCCCTGCCTTCTCATCATCTGGTTTTCTTGTCTGTGTCTTTCCACGAGTCTCCTCTAAAGTATTTATTGTGAGACTTTATCCAAAGAAAGGGCTAAGCTCCCCAAAACTTTATAATAAAATATTACCCTTAAATAATGTGTTCAAGCACCTTAAGAAAAAAGGATCCTTCTTCTGTTTCCAATCAGGCTCCTCCAGCCTGCCCAGAACTCTGTCCTCTGGGCCTTATGTGGCCTCAACAAGTCAGCCAGAAAGAGGAAACAAGACAAGTCAATTTGTGCATTGCCAAGAATGAGCCGAATTCATTCTGGGCCATAATATCTCCATTAGCTCCATGAGTCAGAGCAGGCTAGAAGGAGAAAACAAGCATGTAGGGTGGGCCTCTTAAAAGAGTTTGGGAGAGTCTGGGCATGAAGTCCAAACAGAACGTGTGGGAAAGAAATCAGCACCAAAATGCAGCTCAGAAGTAGGAGACCCCTTGCTTTCCAGTGGAAAATGTCCTGCACTGGAAGTCGGGGGGCTGGGGTCCAAATCCGGCTCTGCCTCTTCCTCTGTACCTGGCGCAATCAACAGAGCGTTGGTCTTAGAATCAGGAAGACCTGAGCTTCAATCTTGCCTCAGGCACTGACTCGCTGTGTGAACTTGGACAAGTCCTTTAGCCTCTCTCTGCCTCGGTTCCCTCATCTTTGAAATGGGGATAACAATAGCATCTACCTTCCAGGGTGGTTGTAAGGATTAACTGAAATATTGAAAGTGTTTTGCAAACCTTAAGGTTATATACATATATATATATATATATGTATGTATGTATGTATGTATGTATGTATATATGTATATATATATTTATATATATACACATTTTACACATATATAATAATACATATTATATATGTATATGTATTATATATATATACATGTGTATATAAACTTAACTATTCTAATTCTTATCATCATTATCTCGTGACCTCAAAAAAGGCATGTCCTTCTTTTGACGCTCGGTGTCTTCGTCTGTTTGGGCTAGACGGCTTCTGAGCTTCCTGCCAGCTCTAAGTGTATGAACCTGTGAAGAAGCTACTTCACCTTTCTGGGCCTCAGTTTCCTTCTTTGTAAGAGGGAGTTGAACTAGATGATATCTCAGTCCCCTTCTGGTCTATGATCTTATGAGCCTTAGATCCTCCCAACACGCATTGTGTTAATAAGATACCACATATGCTACAGCAGCATCCACTCAGCTGTGGTAGAACCACTTTAAACTCTCTTTTCCCCTTCCCTCGGAGTAGAAAAAGCACTAACCCTAGAGCTGAAAGACCAGTGCATGGATCAACAGGCATTGATCTGTGACCAGGTACTGTGCTCGATGCTGGTGATACAAAAATAAAACAAGTAAAACGACCCCTGACCTCAAAGGGACATTGCACTGGGTCAGGAAGAGTTGGACAAGACTGAAAAATGACTGAATGAGCAAAATAAAGTAGGCTCATAGATTTAGAGCTAGAAGAGGCCTTAGAAATCATCCAGTCTACGTCATGCACTTTCCAGAGGAGGGACTAAAGCCCAGAGAGGTGAATCAACTTGGCCAAGGTCACACAGCCAGTAAGTGGCAAACCAGAATTTGAATCCAGATTCTTTGGCTCCAAATCTGACATTCTCTCAATCATACTACCCTTCCTCAGGTGGAAATTGGCTGTGTGTCAATGATTCAGAAATCCTCCTGAGAACAGAGCAAGTAGAACTCTCGAGCACATGGAAGTGTAGGCATCTAGGATGTGCCTCATTCAGGCATGCTGCCTGTTGGAATCTGGTTGACTTTCATAAGCCCAGAGCTAATGATGTGATTCCCACACCTCATCGCCATGTGCTCTGGTCAATGGCTAACTCCAGGCATCCCCCCACAAAGCATCCCCATGAGGGATATTCACTTAACGTGTATTCATTCTTTCAAAAAAAATTATTATGTGCCTACTGTGTACAAAACACTGTTCTAGATGCAAACACAACGTTTAGGTGAGATATGATCTCTCCCCGAGGGCACTTACCATGTCCTAGGGTGACCAGGCACCAACATACATAGCTGAAATACACAATACCAAATAAGCACTTTGGAGAGTTGATAAAATAATGCACTCTATTTGGTTCAAAGGAGATGAAGAGTGGGATCAGGGCAAGGAAATAAGAGATACCGATAAAGGCAGGTGGCTTGACCATACGAAGGACAACAGCTAGTTTGGGCATATATGTATATATATATATATTTGCTTTTTAATGAGGCAATGGGTTTAAGTGACTTGCCCAGGGTCACACAACTAGTAAGTGTCAAGTGTCTGAGGTCAGATTTGAATTCAGGTCCTCCTGACTCCAAGGCCAGAGCTCTATCCACTGCGCCACCTAGCTGCCCCTTTTGGAGCATTTATTTTTCTATTCCTAGCCTCAAATTGAGCATACCATGGGAGGTTGATGGATATTTTAATCCAGGACAGAAATTATTATCTTGCATATTTAGCCATCATTAAAAATGAATTTAAAAATTTGAACCTTCATAGGTCTTCATTCTCAAATCAGATGCTTTCCATTCATGAGTATGCATTTCAGATAACAAAACCAAGATCTGTGACCATGTTTTAAATACAAAGTGTGTGTATTTATGCAATACCCTAATATTTGCATTCAGTAAATAAGACTGAATAAATAATGGTAGACCTTGTAACTTTCCATAAAACTCTCCTTCTGAACTTGTATATATTGTTGAAGCTTGTTTATATGAAGAAATTCTGGTCCTAAAGCTCAAGTCTGTCAGTCAAATTTCGGAAACATGCTAGCTGCTTAACATTATAAGAAAACAGAGCAAAATAAAGCTAGTGTCTGTTGGATTGTTCAATGTCTAGATTATTAGTGCATCTGGCATTCTCAAGATAAAATTCACATCCACATAATAATAATACAAAGTACTTTATGTACCTCATCTTATTTAATCCTCACAACTGCACAATGATATAAGTAGTGTTATCCCCATTTTGCAGGTCAGTATATGACTTGCTTAGCATCACACAGCTAGGGTTTCAGACAAGAGTTGAACTCAGGTCTTCTTTATGCCAAGTTCAGCCCTCTTTCCAATTCACCTCACATAAGCTGATACTTTTATATCTCGCTGAATTTATTAAGCATTTATCAAGTGCCTGTTGTATGCTAGGCATTGTGCTAAGCATTACATATAAGGAAAGGCAAAAACAAAAAGTCCTTGTCCTCCAGTAGCTAGCTTACAGTCTAATGGAATTAAATAACTAGATGAATAGAAGAAACAGATAATAGCTAACTCTTATATAGCACTTTAAAATTTGCAAACTTTATATGGTAACCTATTATCATTTTTGATCCCCACATTTTACAGCTGAAAAAACTGAGGCAGATAGAGGTTAAGTGACTAGCACAGTTAAGTATCTGAGGCAGAATTTGATCTCTGGTCTTCCAGACAAGTCCTATGCCATAGAGATATGTAGGCTTGATAGAAGTTTTACAATCTGTCCGTAAGGAAGACTGCTGAATCAGGAGCCAGTGTGGTTAAGAGAATAACTTTGAATGGGAGATCAAAGAGATCTGGATTCAAATCTCAGCTCTGACACTTGTTAGATTTGTGTCCTTCAGAAAATCAATCTCTTATGCAATGCCTGACACCTAGGAGGCACATAATCTATGTTTGTTGACTTGACCCATCTGGAAAATGGAGATGATAATACACTATTAAGAAATTTTCTAAAATGTAAATTATTACATGAACTATTAGTTGACAAAACAGTGACCACAAATGTTGCATCTCCGTCAAAGGGAATATTTCCAAAGGCTCATGCTCTGTTGTAGAACTTCTCGCTTCCATGGGGATGAGAAGTAATTTGAAGAGGCAGGTGTTTGTGTTTTGTTTTGAAGTGTTTTTAATGAACTGCTCTGATCTTTTCTTGTTTTGAATGCCAACATTCCCAGGCAGTACCCCTTTAGGCCAAGGGGGTGTCTTGTGCTGTAATTTCTTTGTTCTGATTCTGAAATTAATAAGACATTGTACTGTGGGTGTCGGTAATAGATCATTGTCTGACTTGTTCTCTGCTTTGCATACAAAACGCTCACATGGATTTACCTGTGATTCCCTCTAGTATATGACTGCGGCTGCACCTATGCAAGGGACCTACATTCCCCAGTACACTCCTGTGCCTCCAACAGCCGTCCCTATAGAAGTAAGTTTGCTTTTGTTCTTCCAGGGAGAGCTAAGAGGGAGGTGTTTTGGGGGGTGGGGGAAACTGCACATCCAGCTCAGTGCTATCCCATGCAACCTTATTCCCCAGCATGTGGAGGAATCATTGGATGCAAATGAGCTTGGCTGCTAAAGTTGGCACTAAGAGTTTGGTCATGGGAAGTCAGGTTTACCATCCTGCAGATAGCCATGGGTTTGCTTTGTGCATGAAATGTCACGATCAAGTCGAAAGTCTTAACAAGTATTTGGAGTCACTTAGTTTTTTGGGTTTTGTTTTCCTCTTTTTTGAGGGAGGGAGGGAGAAGGGACCCTGGAAGTATCATCGCCACATCCCTGTCCTGACCACCTAAAAGCCTTGAATGCTCACTCAACAGTAAACAGAACTGTTGGTTTCTGTCAGTGCCTCTAGGGAGTGAACTTTGAGTTCTTACTTTAGGCAAAGGAGAAAGATGAAACTGAGTGACCAGCCCCTCACCCTTGTCTTGGCATAAGAAAGGGTGCTGATGGCATCGTCATCCTTCAGGAAGGCTCTTTCTCTTTTTCTTTCTTCCCCACTTTGATTGGAGTCACCCTAATGCAATGACAGATTTTTTCCTAATGCCTCACTGCAATAGCTATCCCAGCATGCTGTGGCCCTTATCTTTGTTTCTGTATATGGATGTGTGTGTTTGTGTGTTCATGGAGAAAGATAGAGAGAAGAGGGGAGCAAGAGAGAGATGGAATGGGAGAAGAAGAGGAGAGGGAGAGGGGGATGGACAGGAAGAGGGAAGAAGAGGGATTGGGAAAGGGAGAGAGAGGGAAGGAAAGAAGGAAGGAGAAAAAGGTAAGACACAAAAGAAAGAAAAAAGAGAAAGATAAATAGATATATAGGCAGCTATATATATTATATATATGTATTTATATAAGTGGTAGGTATATATTTATTTATATGCATAAGTAGATTCATAGACAGATGGAGGGGAGAAAAGGGGGAAAGATGTTGGTTAGAAAGATGAAAAACTGATGACGATGAAGATAGATAATCTAGAATTATCACTTTATTACTAGGACCACAAGACAAAATGTGAGAGAGTTTAGGATGATGTTAATCAATAAGCATTTATGAAGGATGTGCCAGGCATTGTGCTGGACTATGGATTTTAAAAGACAAAAAAAAAATTAAAAGAAAAAAACAATCCCTGCCCTCAAGGAGCTTACATTCTATTGGGTGATCATATCATATGTACATACAAGTAAATATTAAATATATATACTTTAAATGCTGAAAACTTTGGAGGGAACCATAGCATCCAGGGGGTTAAGAAAGACTTCCTGTAAAAGGTGGTGCTTAAGCTGAGCTTTGAATGATGCTGGGGATTCAAAAAGGGTAGAAATGAGGAAAGAGAGCATTGTAGACATGGAGACTGGGCCCTTTATGTTCTCTCTGGTTCTACCCCTTGCTTTTTTTCCATTTCTACCACTTTCCCCTTCCCTGTTACCTTTTTGTCATCAGGGCCCTATGATTGAGATCCCTTCTCTTCATCTCGGCTTCCTTTGGAATGGTTTCCTTTTTGAGGGGACCAAGCAGGTGGCAGCACCCACAAGTGCTCATACCTAATCTAGAACTAATACCTAAGTCTAAAACACTCAGATCTGTGAAGGGAGCATTGACAAGTCCTTTCAGCAACAGAATCAGTTTCAAAATGGGTCAGCATTGGGGAAATGGGTGCAAAAGGTTGGGAAGCAAGTTTAGTGGTCAATAATTTCTAATTTGGGTGAGGGATAGAATTGAATGGGCTATTTTTACTTGCCAAGAAAGCACAGAATATGGGAAGATTCTCCAAAACCTGGGTATCCAAAGCCAAATGAGCCTGCGTGAGTACAAAGGTCTCCATCACCTATCCATCTACATCGCTGCTCTAAGACAAGACTTCTGATTTTGTCAAAGAATCATGGGCTGAGAGTTGTAGAGGATTGTAAGAAATTAAGTTGGATGGGACTCAGAGGCGATCAAGTCTAACTCCCTAGTTTTACAGATGAGCAAACTGAGACCCAGAGAAATGAAGTCACTTGCATAGAGTTACGCAGGTAGTGACACATGCAGGATTCAAAGGAAATTTAAGCCCAATTGAAACCCTCTAAACCCAAATCCTGTGTTCTTTCCACTAGGCCCTCCCATTTCCTTTTTGTGCATGGACACAACTGTATGGAAATCCTATAGACTTCCAGGTGTGGCTTCTAAGATCAGTCCCACAACATGATCACCTTAGCTGATGGAGGCACCTTCTGGCTTCCACACAACGGGCTTCATCTGTGCTTGCAGAGAGGGGCCAGTACGCATTTTCTCCATGTGGATACACACTTAGATATGTGTCCATAAAGAGAAAGAGCAGATGGAGGGACTGGTGCCCTGGAAGGAGGCCCTGACCTTCCAAGAGATGATCCATGAGAGGGCTTTCAAAACAAATGCTTTTCACACTTTTCTTTGTTAGTGGAACCTTCCCATCCCCAAATCTCTAGAGTTTACATGGGGCTCAAGGCCTGTCAGAGAGGGCATGAGGAGCTCCCTCTGCTGGCTCAGTGCAAGGCCAAGACATAGGCAGCATCTCTCCCAGGTCTGCATGGGGAGACATTTCTGGTGTCGACCAGTCCTAGGGAGAACGCATGAAAAGGCTCTATGAAATCTATCCTGGGTTAAAGAAGGCTGTGATGATCCATCAGGGAAGAGGAAAAGGAAAAGGGATTAGACTTACAGCATGGGTGTATATGCATATATATATATATATATATTGATTTGCTTATATAACATGCATCTATACATGTATGTATAGGCCTACATTGTGTATTGCTGCATTGTATGCATGTAAATATGTATATATGTATTATAAAAGTCATTATAGTATAGTGACTAGAGAATCTGCCTTGAAGCCTAGAAGAGATGGGTTCAAATTCCACCTCAGATACGTACTAGCTGTATGAACCTGTACAAGTCACTTAATCTCACTATCCCACTCATCTTCCTACAAATAAGTTGCAGACAGGGGCATCTAGGTGGTGCAGTGGATAGAGTACTGGCCCTGAAGTCAGAAGGACCTGAGTTCAAATCTGGCCTCAGACCAAACACTTGACACTTACTAGCTGTGTGACCCTGGGCAAGTCACTTAACCCCGATTGCCTAATATATATATATATATATAAGTTGCAGACCCCCTGCCTATTTGCATTAGTAGAAGGAGCTTTGCATTATTAGATCCCTAACCTAATGAAATTGTAGATCCAGGCCTAGGCCTATCTATCTATCTATCTATCTATCTATCTATCTATCTATATTTACCTATCTATCCATCCATCCATCCATCTATTTTTTTTTTTTTGGTGAGGCAGTGGGGTTTAAGTGACTTGCCCAGGGCCGCACAGCTAACAAGTATCAAGTATCTGAGGTCAGATTTGAACTCAGGTCCTCCTGACTCCAAGGCCAGAGCTCTATCCACTGCATCACCTAGCTGCCACCTATCCATCCATCTATCTACCTATCCATCTATCTATCTATCCATTATCTATCAATTCATTATCTATCCATCCACCCATTATCTGTCTGTTAATCCATTATCTATCTATCTATATCTACCCGTCATCTCTCTCTATATATATATCTATCTATCTATAGATGACACACAAATATTCTTGAATCTGCATACCTCCATACATATATGAGTATAAATGTACGTTATGTAAATGTATATATATGAATATGTATATAATAAACGTATAAATATATGTGCACATATTTTACAAATAGAAATTAAAGGTAACCAATTGCTGGAGCCTCCAGAAGACATGGGAAAACATTAAAATGATTTAAAGGGGAAGTTATTTGTGGCCATTTTTTTAAAAGAAATCCTTGATTTGATGTGTTAAGTGAAGCACCCAGAGTTTTCCGTGTGACTCAACTGTCCAAACCAGTCAAATATCAGAGCCCAGCACATTTGATGGCATGAGTTCTGCCTCAGCCTGTGATCATTAGCCTCTTGCTCATGGCAGAGATCCCTCAACTGTTCCAACATTAAGAAAGTGTTGGCTGCCGTTCTGCCCAAGGGGAGGGGGCTGAGGGTCAGCGTCACGTCCCAGTTGGTATGAATGCCAGGGCCAGGCACCCACCTGGAGGCTGGACTTTCTTCTGCCTGGTTGTTCCTGTAGGCTCAGGCTACTGGTCATAGCAGGACTGCTCTGGCCAGAAAGCAGAAGGAGTGACACATCCCAAGTCTGTGGGATCCCCCATCACCCCTGGAATGATCCCCCATCATCACGGTTAAAACTTTGTGAGACTATTGTGTTTGCTCTCCCAGGGTGTTGTCGCTGATACCTCTCCCCAGACAGTTGCACCTTCATCACAGGAAGCCAGTGCCCAGCAACAGCAGATAGCGGTGGAAACGTCCAGTGAACATACGCCTGCATATTCCTACCAACAGTCTAAGTGAGTACTGAGCCTTCCTCATGGGGGGAGGAAGGGTGGGGCTTTAACATCTCAGGAAACATGGGCGTATCTTGCTTTATCTTCACCATGATCTCAGTAGGCGTGAGAAGTATAATCTCCATTTTACAGATGAGGAAACAAAAGCTCAGCAAAATTAAGGGTGTTGTCCATGGTCACATATCTAGTAAGCATCAGAATAAAATGCAGGTCTTCTTGGCTCCATTCTATCCACTGTACCATTTTATCCACTGTACCATATCTTGTATAAGAGGAGACTATGGCTAATAAAAGTTAAAAGAATTGTCCAAATGATAAATACATAAAATTAAGGTGATTACAAAAGAAACCAATTGTATTGAAATACACTTATCAAAATTTCAGAAACACAAGCACGCACACACACACACACACACACACACACACACACACACACACAACTTCATGGATTCCAGGTTAAGGACCCCTGATATAAATGGAGAAAGGACTTTTAGAGACATCTATGTGGCGTGATGAATAGACAGAACATTGAACTTGGAGCTAGGAACACCAGAGTTTAAATAATGTTGGATGTGGAGTTAGGAAGACCTGAATTGGCTGTTGTGAGGATACAATGAGATCAGTGCTTTATAATCCTTAAGGTAAATCTTTAAACCATATGAATACTAGCTATTGTTATGTGATATTATACCTACCACACGCTTGAGTAAATGCTAGAGAAGGATAAGGTGCTTGGCTCTGTATCAGCGGAACTCAAAGGCAACACTAGGCGCCCAGTAAAAAAATTAATGACAGGGTCAACTTCCTCCCATGTGTTAAATTTCCAACTGTGAGAAAATTACATTCCCAAAACAGCTACCAAAGCCACGTAAAGAGGAAAAGCCAACTCTGCGCCTTTTCAAGAGAATGAAAAAAATACTCAAAACCACGTTTTCTAGTAAACAAGAGAAAGGGTTATACAAGATGCTTCTCTAGCAACAATGTCATTACCTAAGATAGAAATAATCTAGGTCACAGTGCTTCTTAAACTGTGGGTCACGACCCCCTCAGTTTAAGAAGCGCTGAACGGGTCACGAGAGGAAAAAAAATTTAAGAAGCCCTGGTCTAGGAAACCTAGGGTCCTATTCAGGATGTGAATTCTCCTGCCCCACTCAGCAGAGCATTCCTCACCTTCCTTTCAGTTAAGGTGAATGAAGTCTTGTCTTCCTGACCCTACAGAGCCTCTTATGGAATGGCACCAGAGATATGGTGCTGGTGGCCCCTTCATGACCAGAGGGTATGTTTTGTTGAGGAAAGGATACTGGTAGGGGAGAGAAGATTGTTGACCTAGAGCTAAAAGGATCATCAAAGGCTACATCAGAGGATTGGTAGTCCAATTGTCCTGTTTTACAGATGAAGAAACTGAGACATAAAGCAACAAAGTGATTTGGCCAAGGAGTTTGACCAAAAGGGTGAAGGACCTTGTGATTACGAAGATGAAACTGAATTGAAGAAATCACTGATGTTGATCCCTAGATAAGAGGAGAGTTGGGGGGAGGGCAGCAGGGGAAGGAACAGAATATCTATGTCCAATTATCTACCACATGGTATGGGGGTTAGGTTGGCTTTCCTTGTTCCCAGAGGTCAGAACTAGGAGCGCTGGACAGAAGCTGCAAAGGCCAAGGTGACTTAATGGAGTCATGGTCCAGTAGTGGTCCAGCATTAGCTCTGGAGTCCAAGCTCCTCAGTTCAAGACACTGGACCTCAATTTCCTCCTCTGTAAAATGAGGAGGTTGGACTAAATGGCCTTTGGGGTCCCTTTTGGGTCAAATCTTTGATTCCATTAACTTCCTAAGAGTTGGAGTTAACCAAAAGTGAAATAATAATAGTTGGCATTTATATAGTCCTTTATGGTTGATAAAGTGCAGACCTAAGATTATTATTGTACCCACTTTACAGAAAAAGAAACTGTTGTTCAGAGGACTTAAGTTAAGGAACTTACCCATGTTTATCCCACTAGTAAGTGCCAGGACCCAGATTTAAACCAAAGTCTACCCTGACTCTATGACCAGGATTCTTTCTGCTTTATTAGCTACTCCTCACTAGAACATAGTTTTTCACCATGGAATTGACTGCCTTTGAAAGTGAACAGCAGCAACATCAATAACATAGCAATAGTAATAGTAGATGGATAGATAGAGCTGATATAGCGCTTTACAGTTTGCAAAGCGCTTCACAAAGAGTTTCTCGTTTATCCTCACAACCACCGTAGGCAGTAGGTCCTATTATTATCACCATCCCCATTTTACAGATAAGAAAACTGAGGCTGACCAAGGTTTCTGTGCCTCGTACAGGGTCACATGACTATTAAGCATCTGAGGCTAAATTTGAACTCAGGTCTTCCTGACTCCAGCTCCAGCTCTCTCTCTATCCACCGCACTACTTTGGTTGCCTCTAAAATATTGTCTTATTTCATTTTCATGACACCCTTGGGTGGCAGGTGAAAGTAATAGCTTCCCCCTTATTGAAGGGCTTCAGACAGAGTGGATGACCACTCCTTGGGTATGTGACAGAGAGGACTTTTAGTTCAGGTACAGGTTGGGCTAGATAGATGGCTGCCCAGGGTCCCTTCCAGCTCTGAGTTTCTCTGATTAGCTATTGTTAACCAGACCACTCCCAGCTAGTCATAGGAAGACCTATAGATATAATAGACTCATTGCTGCCTCGTCCTCAGCCTTCAACAATATCCACCCAATACTGAAGAGCTAAGACCTTCCCCCAATTTCCTCTATACCCAGGCACAATTAATTTTTTTTAAAGAAATGAAAGTTTTGAAAAATTCTTTGTGGTATGAGATGACTGTAGACAGAAAGGAGGACACAAAGAAATTAAGACAATGTAAAAGCAAAAGCTATTCAGAAAATTTTATTTTAAAAAAGACAAAGAAAGTGAAGTTTTGTTCCTACGGGATTTGTTTATCTGAGTATAACTAAGCAGGGAGATCTGGGTCAGACCACTTTGACCCATGATCTAGAGATTGCAAATAGCTTTGGAGACTTTCTGCCAGCTGTTCCCTTAATGTTGACACAGTTGTAAAGTTGGCCTCCTGATTTCAGAGGAGATTCTATTTGACCACACTGTCCTGTCCATTACAGGATGTTCTGTGGAGTATCTTGCAATGTGCCAGCTGATGTCCCCTGGGACATTTCTGATGGATGGCACACCAGAGCATCCTGGCAGGGCACTCTTTCCTTTGAAATTGAAGTTAAAAAAAAATCTTGAAACACATTATCCTAAAGTGTTTCGTCCTCCCTGGTCTCTCTGAACAAAGTGTTCTGAAGCCATTGACTAGGAAGGAAACAGTAGGTCCAAAAAAAAAAAAAAAAAGAAAGATAGAATGACCCCTCCAAATCCATTTCAAGTTCATGGAGGGTAATCATTTCTGGAGCATCAGGGAGGAGGTAATTAACATGATCAGAGCCATGTTTCTGTCAGTTTCAGGCAAAGGGAGCTGTCAGGACTTGAAAGCATCTCTCATGAACCCATCCAGAAAAAAAAAAAAATGGCTGCCCTGGCTTCATTTTTCCATTTACATTCAGGGAGACCATAAATTCAAAGTGAAGGTTATAGGAAAGATAAGTTAGCTCCATTAAAGGATATGTCAGCTAATAGCTGAGGGCAACTGTTCAGTCTCAGAATGTCCCCTCTAGGCAAAGAGACCTTCCTTTGTATGGATACTCTCCTAAGCTTTTTAAAAAACTATTACTGGAGACTTGACACCATGAAATTAAAAGCAACCTGTTGATTTTTGTTTATGGGAGATATCCCACACCTGACTCCCTATTTCAGGCTCACTTTGTTGGAGGTATTGGTTCTGTGGATACTCTGTCCTTTCTCTTAGCCATCTAGCAATTCCAGGAAATCATGGATTAAAACCACTGTCTGGAAGCAATTAGCTGCCATTTTCCCCCTCTGGGCTTGTTTGTGATTTCATTGATGAAGGAAACTGAAAGGAAACGCCCTCTACCACAGCAGAATCAGCACCTCCTCTCTAGTGAGGCTGAGCTTTGCATCTTAGAGAGTCACCTGGGAAGCTGAAAGGTTAAGTGACTGGCCCAGATGCAGGGGTTGAATTGAACCCAGGTTTTCCCTACTCAGAGACCAGCTTTTATCCACTATACCATACTACTGGAGAAAGAAGAACAGGAATAAAGCAATCCCTGCCCCCAAAGACCTCAAAGACCTTGCTTACTTTCTGTAGGGAGCCATTCCAAGGCTACCCCTATGGTAGCAGAGTCACATCCCACTGAGGTATTAAGAAGAGGGAGCATTTGAAATAGTTTTGATGCTAACGTTTTGATGCTAAATGTTTTGATGCTAATAATTTTGAATGTTCAGATGGCCCCTTTTCTTTCCTCACATCCATTCAAGCTACTTGCATTATGCAAATATGCATTTTCACAGGCAGAATGGACATAGTTGGGACAGGAGTAGCTTCAGCTCTGTTACATATCTAATCACCTTTCCTCCCCACTTTAAAAGACAGGAAGGAACCGTGCAAATGCAAGCCTCCGCCACTTAGTTCCACACATTTGTTGCCATGTAGCAGGGAGGCCCTTTTCAACGTGA